AGAATTCAGGTTTTTGTTTTTGTTCACCGTCGGTCTTCATGTGCCTTTGATACAGGCATTTGTTTATGAAGCTGCGTGGGTACCCATTGGAGAGAAAGAGACGCCATAGGGATTTACGCTCTCGCAGCTTTTCAGCCTCTGTGCTGCAGTGTGTGTTGATGCGTAGGAAGAGTGTCCGCACGCAACTGCGTTTATGTGACAAGGGGTGGTTACGGCTGTAATGGAGGATTTTCGCCGTATCAGTTGCATTTCGAAAGACACCAGTTTGGAGGGCTACATCTTCCTGTCTCGACACCTGGACATCCAGAAAGGGGATTTCCCCGCCCTTTTCTTCCTCCATTGTGAATTGAATTTGGGGGAAAATTGAGTTCAATTTGCTTCTGAACGTCTCTTTCATGTCTTGAGGTAGGATGACAAAGGTGTCATCTACATAGCGCATCCAGAATTTTGGCATGTAGGACTGAAAAACCCGTGTTTCCAGTTCTTGTAGAAGCGCCTCAGCTAGATAGCCGGAAATTGGTGATCCCATTGGAGTTCCCTGGATTTGCTCGTACACCTGGCCATTAAACGTGAAGTACGTGCTCAAACAGTAGTCCAGTAGCTCCATTATGTGCTTCCTTTTCAGAGGTCTTTCCTCTTCATCGTACCTCCTCTCCAGTAGGTCACTTATGACCCTCGTGGCTAATTCTTTAGGGATGGAGGTGAAAAGAGAGACAACGTCGAATGAAACCATTATTTCGTCTGGGGCTATTTTGACGCCTCGGAGTCTTTCCAGGAAGTGTGTTGGGGATATAGCGGTTTGTTCTGAGCCCTCCGTCAGCTTCTTCAGATGTTTGGTAAGCCATTTAGCCAGACCGTAGGTAGGTGTGCCTTTCAGCGCCACAATTGGCCGTAAGAGAACGTTTGGTTTGTGGATCTTTGGCAGACCATAGAAGCGTGCTATGGCAGCATCTTGTGGTTTCATCTGTCGCCAATCGGTCTCAGATATTGCCTGCTGTTTCCTCATTAAACTCAGACACTTGTTGATTTTTGCCACCAGTGTTTTCATGGGATCGGAGTCAATGACCTTGTATGACTGGTTATCGTTGAGTAGCTCCTGAGCTTTCGCTACGTACTGAGTAAGAAAGACCTATTTAAACCTTGTATTCCCACTTTTAATCTATCTCCGATTATGCGCTCAAGTATGATTTTGAAACGTCAGATTAATAAATCATCCTCCCCAGAGATCTCTTTACCTTCTTCCATCTCAACACCTGGGGTCGGCATTTTCGCCATTATCCATATATATATATATATATATATATATATATATATATATGGTAAAGGTATTATACCGTACTCCCGACCTAGATACTTGCTAAAAGCCCAGACACGTGTTTCGCCGATATTCTGCCGCTGCGTGACACAGCTGCGAGGGGTTCGGCTCTTCAGTGGGACCCCCAGCGTTCTCTAGCGGTTTCTGGTATATGAACTCCAGGGAATAATCAGGTGAATAATTTCAGAAATTAATCAATGCAGAACTTGGAGTTAAATCTCCGGGACATGACTTTTTAGGGTCAGAACCGAAATTTCAATGAACATTTGAGTCGAAGACAATCAACTACTATGGAATAACCACGTAATGCCCATTCTACAAACAAGTAGTACTACGTGGCATTACGTGGTTATTCCACAGTAGTTGATTGTC